CCTTCTTAGTGTACATTCTGTTGACGTACCCTATTAAAACACAATCAAAAACGCAAAAACCCGCATCTAAAATAGTATAAATAGAAGCAAAGTTCTTTACCGTAAGCCGTAATCCTAGCCTTCTCTCTTCAGTGGGGTTGAATTTCGACTTGTATATTATATAAAAACACATGCGTATTCGAATGCAGTGTTGTGTCAAAATTTCAAAGGAATTGGTAGGAACAAATGAACATTACATTTTTATTTATATAAATATATAGATGATGATCTGCTTTAGTTCATTTTTACAGAAAAGCAAACTTAGGGCATCGTACTCGTAGCACCATCTGTTGGACATAAAAGCCTTAACCATAGATGATATCATTTAATTTATATGAATGTTTAACGGAATAATATACAGCCTATGTCCACCCTGAAGTTCCATTCTAAATATTGGTGAAAGAATTTTTGAAATCGGATGAGTAGTTTCGGAGATTACCTGCTACATCCAAACTTACTTACATACTTACTTACAAACATTACCTCTTATAATATTAGTATAGATATTATAATAAATGCATTATTATATTATTAAATTAATAAAGTAATAATAATATACACTAATAGTATAAAATATTTTCTTTATAATTTAAATATTTGTTTTAATTAGTATTATTTACTAAGATTTCATTTATTTTTCAGTTCTACTGATTGGTCATTAAGTAATATTGAAGTATTTGGTGAAACAGTGATACCTGATATGTCTCGTGTTTTATTAATGTACATCAATAATACTGTGAAGAATCAAAACTTTCAACATTCACTCTTTTTTGAAAAACGTGTTACTAGTATGTAAGTTGATTTTTGAAATAAATTAATTTTAATTGTTTAATATATAAGTTTTAAGTAACTACTTTTAATTGGTCATATTCTTTTTTATATTTTATCATTTCATAATGAATTTAGCTTCCTAGTGTAATTGTATTATATAATTCAGCTTTATTAAATAAATTTATTAACTCATCACAAACAGAACACAAAATAATCAAATTTTGTTTGTTGTTTCTGTATAAAACAGGTAAAGATTACATACATCATCTAAAATATTTCTGAAAAATTATTTATATAAGAACTTTGTCTACTATACTCCTCAAAAGTGAAATTACAACACCACGTAGGAATGTGCATAACCACATGCATATTAAGGATCGGTAAAGGTGACAGATATGCAAATAATTAAAAGAACAAACAAAAATATGCAACAGACACCTGTTTATTCAGTAATGAGTATGGCTCCTATGGACAGCTATACTGGCCTTATATGGTGAGGCCTATTATTAATGAGGCAATTAATGGTTGCCTGAGTTATCTCTTGCCAAGCTGTGTCCACACAGCTTGGCAATATATATAGTGCCCATGTCATTTTTGTATGTCATGCTGGTCCCAATGCAAGGTCCCACAGGTAAACACCTGTGGAGATAGGAGAGAGATCTGGTGAGGCTCTCTGCCAGGGAAGGATGTGAATTCCGTTCAAGCTGATGACAATGCAATGTGCATTCAGGCATTATCTTGTGAAACACCATGTTGAGTACATCCTGCACCAGTGGTTGAATCACAGGTCCCACAATGATGTACTGATCTGCTGTCAGAGTAGCATAAATGTGCACCAGGACTGTCTGCTGATTGAACATGATGCCTGGTGTGGAGTCAGTAAGACACTCAGCAAAAATGACTGGCAGGTAGCATATCTGGGATACCATCACACACATTCACAGACAGAAGTGGGACTCGTTCATAAACAATACCTGATGCTGTTCAATGTCCTGTTACGATGGCAGTGACACCTGGTTGCTGGTTACCATGCATATAGTCTGACTTCATGCAACCTGTCATGAATGGTTTGAGTGGAAACAGATACACCCATTGATGGTGACAGGCAGCTTAAGATGTCACATGCTGTGATGAACGAGATCTAATGGGCTGTTCTGAAAATTTGCCAGTTTGTGAATTCTCTTGCACTGATGTGATCCACTCCCTCCTTAGTGTGTATTCAGATGTTCCTGTATCCATCATGTCAGACATTGCTGAATGGTACTCCTGTCATATCCAACATGTGTGGCAACTGTGCACATAACAAATCAAGGTCGTGCAGCTCCAGGATACAGTCTCATTCCCCAACTTTTAACTGGTGGTATTCAAGTTACTGTTGTCTTTGAGGCATTTTCTATACTACTTCAATAGTTCAGCTGCCATGAACTGTTGCTGTTAGCATTTATGGCTCAAGCCAGCTGCTGGTCTTTATAACTTGAAACTAGATACCACATGACCTGAAGCATATACAGACTTAATCATTTGCATATCTTTTTCACCTCTACCAGTCCTGCAATTTGCATATTGCTGCATGCATTCCTTTGTGGTGCTGTGATTTCACTTATTTGGAGTGTATTGAACAGTATTATGGGAAAAAAAATTATTAAAAATTTATTTATTACTATTAGATGTGTTTATTTTTTTTTATGTATTAATTCATTCATTCATTCACATGGCATCCTCTTTACAGAGAGTTGCAGTTGATGATAGTTGTAGATTTTTTCCAATCTTGAGCCAGTCCATTTTTTGATGTCTTTTCATGTTAGCCTAGGTCTTCCCTTTCTTTGTCTGCCCCCCACCATTCCTTGAACTGCAGTCTGTAGCAGCATACATCTTATCAATTTCCAGACATAATTGATTCAATCACTTTTCCTTTGCCTGTTTGCACGTTATTCTTATTTGTTTATTAATGATTCTATCTATATATATAATCGAGATGGGTTGATAATGATGATAATAATAATAATAATAAGCACAGAGCCAAAATGGTTAGGAGTTGAAAGTTGAAATTTAGTACACAGGTAGGGTACGTCACAAAAACGCACACTAAGAAGGGATTTTTCGAAATTCCCCCTGGGGGATAGGAACAGGATTAAGGCTTAACATCAACAATGGAAGTGTTACTTAACAATGGAAGTGTCAACAATGGACGTGTCAACAATAGAAGTGTTAAGAGAAAGCAATGTGCAAGACACAGATGCAGTTTTTTTCGTTTTGCAGGAAATCGAACATATTTTTAGACTAAAAATCTCTAATTAGTCTGGAAACAGGGGACCCAATTCTTGCATTCTGTGAAAAAGGGTAAGGTTGACTATAACGTAATAATCTTAATCTTCGCTATTATTACTTTTGCCTGAGCAACGCCGGGCTTACCTGCTAGTTTATATATTTTTATTTATATTTATATANTGCTCTGCTACTGGATTTTTCTGCAGTTCAACAACGAAAACTTGGTCAATGTTTCAAAATAGGTTTTTGCCATCCCACCCTGGCAAGTTTCACCCAAGTGTACCCTGCCGCCGAAAATCCATCCCTTCAAGTTGTGCTGTGTGCCCTGAGGCCTACGTTATCCTCAGCACCTTCGCCAGAAGAAGAAAACGATCGTTGAATCGATTGAACTTTATATGCAGACTGGTTCAACCTTCGGCTAGGCCTTACACCATACTAGAACCCATACTACAAATACATTCCACAGACAGTATTGGAAAACAACATGCACAAAATGTACTATGACAGAGCCATAATCACAGATAATTTACTATAACAGACCAGACATCACACTCATTGACAAACACAATAAAATCACATACATTATAGATAAATCCATTCCAAACACTCACAATGTACAAAACACATGCACAGAAAAAATTAGCAAGTACACAGAATCACCCAGGAAATAAGGCATCTATGGAGGATGATAGGGAGCTTATTGTTCCTGTTGTTCTATCCTAATAATAATATAAATGTAATAAGTTTAATAATTATGAAAAAAATAAGTTCAAGCTTATTTTTGGAATGTATTTATTAATAAAAATTGTTATTTGACATCAGTTGTTTTCATCATGCACTCCAATCATCTTAAAGTTATCATGTTTTCTTTTTCTTTAATGTTTGTACTAGTGTTAACCTTCTCCTGAGACATTTGTAATTAATTTTTTGTTATTCCATAGGCTTTGAAACTTTTTGAGATTGAGAAAGTGGATGGAAGTGAATGTCAAAATTATTTCTTAAGTTTGTTATATTCTGTGGTTCTTTTATGTAAATTTTTTGGATCTAGTTCTCTCATTTGTCATAAGATTGCAAGTGGTAGAACTTCTTTGCTGATACACTGTTATGATAATTTATCTAAAAGACTTTTTATGTCTTACAAGTTAGGTTTAAAAAGTCATAATAATAATATAATTAGTGCTAAGGCAAAGTCTATTAGAATTTTATTTTTATTTTTATAGCAATACTAGCAGGTGGGCCCGGCGTTGCTCGGGCAAAAGTAACGATAGCGAAGATTAAGATTATTACGTTATAGTCAACCTTACCCGTTTTCACAGAATGCAAAAATTGGATCCCCCGTTTCCAGACTAATTAGAGAATTTTTACATGGGTCAAAAAATATCTTCAATTTCCTGCAAAAACGAAAACCAACTGCACTTTCTCTTAAAATGTCGCTTTCTCTTAACAATTCCATTGTTACGTAACACTTCCATTGTTGACACTTCCATTGTTAACACTTTCATTGTTACTTAACACTTCTATTGTTGATGGAAGTGTTAAGCTTAATCCTGTCCCTTTCCCCCCAGGGGGGCATTTCGAAAAATCCCTTCTTAGTGTGTGTTTTCGTGACGTACCCTAACTGTGTACCCAATTTCAGCTTCCAACTCCTAACCGTTTGGGCTCTGCGCTGATTATTATTATCAACTCGTCTTGATTATATATATAGATATGTGCTCTTCATGTAAAAACTGCAGATTAAAATTGAATTCAATATTATTATTTTTTGAATTTATCTAAGTGTTTGTAATTGAATATATATACAATTACAAACACTTAGATAAAAGAAACTTTTAAGGCAATATATTGCCTTAAAATATATATATATACATTGCCTTAAAATATATATATATTGCCTTAAAACGTGCACATCATACCAACTATGCCAAGTGCTGAATAAACATACACAACATTCTATATACTGTTAACAAAACACAAAACTGGAAGACACTTGATGTAGACATTCACAATTTCTGGTACAAAAAGTTTACATCACTGCACCAGGAATTAGTGTGAAGCTTCAGAAGTGGGCCTATAATTTGTGCAAAAAAAAAAAAAACAAGAGAGAAAATATTTTTTATTTTTTATATAGAAGAAAATAATAATAATTATTATAATATTGTAAAAAGAAACTGTCAAACGAGTAAAAAAAAAGGAAAACAAAAAATGAATATTTCATGTCCATAAAAGGACATGTCTATAGAAATTTCTAAGAAAGATGAACTTCACAAGTTTAAACAATAGATGAATGTAAGTCCTAAGATTGAACATCTGTGATAGGGATTGAATTGTCAGTTGGTCTGGATTCTGATCTTGTTACATTTCGTAACAAGAGAAAAAACCAATTGGAAAGGGGGGGTAAGTCGACATCGAGCTATCGGAATGTTCGGTCTGGACCCAAAAGAAACTTATAAAAATTGCACAAAGAAAGGATGTGACATTCTTGGTTCTTAGTTCAGAGTGCTCTGCTACTGGATTTTTCTGCAGTTCAACAACGAAAACTTGGTCAATGTTTCAAAATAGGTTTTTGCCATCCCATCCTGGCAAGTTTCACCCAAGTGTACCCTGCCGCCGAAAATCCATCCCTTCAAGTTGTGCTGTGTGCCCTGAGGCCTACGTTATCCTCAGCACCTTCGCCAGAAGAAGAAAACGATCGTTGAATCGATTGAACTTTATATGCAGACTGGTTCAACCTTCGGCTAGGCCTTACACCATACTAGAACCCATACTACAAATACATTCCACAGACAGTATTGGAAAACAACATGCACAAAATGTACTATGACAGAGCCATAATCACAGATAATTTACTATAACAGACCAGACATCACACTCATTGACAAACACAATAAAATCACATACATTATAGATAAATCCATTCCAAACACTCACAATGTACAAAACACATGCACAGAAAAAATTAGCAAGTACACAGAATCACCCAGGAAATAAGGCATCTATGGAGGATGATAGGGAGCTTATTGTTCCTGTTGTTCTATCCTCTACAGATGTGATACCACACATACTAAAAAATTACATGATGTGATACCACACATACTAAAATACATACAAAAGCCTGGGAACATTACAATTGAATAGAAACACATATATCACATTACAAAATGCCACTATATTGAGTACATATCATATTTTTAGGAAATTCTTGAATACAGACACTCACACTGTAATTGTTAATAATTGTTCGTTTTCAATCAACAACCCTTTGTTCGATGACAATGAGATGAAAATATTGTGTGAATCTATGATGTAGTTGTTGTCTGTATGCTGGCATGTTTATTTAATTTTTGTTTTGTTTTTGTTGCTATGCCTTGATTTTAGTCCAGCATGGTATACAGCAACTGGTGTCAACAAGTATAACCCCTGCACCCAAAATAATAATAAATGGCAAATATAACAATATATTCAAATATTTGCTTGTTGTATTTATTGTTACTTTTCATTTATCTTCATAAAAATCATACATTGACAATAAGCTTTTGTATTGAAAACCTCTATAAAATACTTCAATGAGTAACTTTATAGTCTTTTCTTTCTTATACAGTAGACCCCCCTATAACGCTTAGATACATTCCACTTTATAAGAATTTTACATTGTAGGAATTTTTAAATGCATGAGCCAATCACAGCCTGACACGTGTGAAGTTTACGGACTAAAGTTGTTTGAAAGGTTTTCTTCTATAAAATTAACCAATTCTAGACTAATTTGACTCAACATTTCCAAAACACGTATAATTTTTTGGGAATAATCCGTATAAACTATGCTATAAACAAAAAATTGTAGGATTACTTACCGAGTGTGCACCGTTCGACGTCGCCATTGCTTAAGCTTGTTTTCGTCGCGGAGCAGCGCACCAAACGGCGGCCGCGATTTCTGATAAGTTATTTTTCTGCGAAAACTTCGTTGAACTTTGGAGACATCATTAATATAAATAATTTTTATGGCCGTTGAATAAGAAATGTTTCTTTCACAAGAAATGTATAAAATTAGTGCTGTATTAGACTTACAGTACCTAATTTACATATTGTACAGACGATAGTAAAATCAACTTACTCGCCTAAACTCTCCGTAGTGTGGCACTCGACAGCGGAAAGTATATATATAATTATAATAAAGTTACAATAAATTAAGTTAATATAGAATTATATATACAGTACCCAATTTATATATAATTATATGTACAGTACTTAATTTATATATAATACTGTACAGACAATAGCAAACACAATTTACCCGCCTAAATTTTCTGTAGCATTGCGCTGGATGGCAGAAAGTAGTTCGGCTGCTCATCCACTATTGGTCCAGATTCGACCAATCTTGTCGCGACATGGGTTGGCGACGACGTTTTACGAGTCCCTTTATACGAATACTGCCGTAGCAATTTTTTTGCTACGTTATAGGAATTTCCGTTATAGGAACCCACATTATAGGGGGGTCGACTGTATTGAACTATGCTATATATCAATAATTGGTTGATTAACAAGCATAATGATAATGAGAATACAAAACAATAATTTGTTATTAATGTACAGTGACAACTTGAAACTCATATTCAATTTATTCCTAGAGGACATTTCAGTTTCAAAAAGATCAAGTTTCAAAACAATTTTTTTCTGTAAGAAATAATGTGAAGTGAATTAATCTATTTCCAAACTGCTCATTTTAATTTTTAAAATTCATAATGTAAGCTTAAAAAACACTAGTAAATGTCTTAATTAATGCATAAAATAATAATAATAATAAATTAAAAACAATGAAAAAAGAATATAATGCAATAAATTGCAGTAGCTGAACTATATGTAGCTAGGCTCTTTCAATACAGGTGCCAAACTTGTATTGTTGTATTTAGAAAAATAACAATTCATTGTTTGTAGCCCAAAATAAAAATTAACCCAATCTGGAAACACTACTGTATCATACATATTTGTACAAATATACACCATACAGTATGGCCATCTTTGTTTGTGTTCAAATTCCAAGAAAAGTTTGGCTTTTGGGCAAAATTTTCTCAAAGAAATTGTTCAGATTTCAAGTTGTTCAACTTCTTGGGCATTTAAGTTTCAAGGTACCAATGTATTGGCATTTGTATCATAATTATGAGATATTCTTCAGAATTCTGAATATATGTTTAGAAATATATTATTTTTAAATTAATGTTGAATTCTGCAGTGAAATATACAATTAATTTTTATTATTTAAATATTTTAGGGAAGATGATTCTTTATTACAAAAAGTTGAGAATCTTCAGCAAAAAGAATATGAACATCAAATTAGATATCTTTTAACCAATGCTACTCATTTATTATATGATATGACAGCATTACTGAACTGTGTTGATGTTAGAGAGCAAGGAGAAGAATTTTTGAATGATGGCATAGCAAATCTTATTCCTTCTGTGAAGCATAATTATACAGGGTAAGGAAAAAAATATTTTGCATATCTTTAAATAAAGTTAGTAAATTTTAAGGATGCATAAGTATTTCATCCATAAAAGGACATGTCTATAGAAATTTCTAAGAAAGATGAACTTCACAAGTTTAAACAATAGATGAATGTAAGTCCTAAGATTGAACATCTGTGATAGGGATTGAATTGTCAGTTGGTCTGGATTCTGATCTTGTTACATTTCGTAACAAGAGAAAAAACCAATTGGAAAGGGGGGGTAAGTCGACATCGAGCTATCGGAATGTTCGGTCTGGACCCAAAAGAAACTTATAAAAATTGCACAAAGAAAGGATGTGACATTCTTGGTTCTTAGTTCAGAGTGCTCTGCTACTGGATTTTTCTGCAGTTCAACAACGAAAACTTGGTCAATGTTTCAAAATAGGTTTTTGCCATCCCACCCTGGCAAGTTTCACCCAAGTGTACCCTGCCGCCGAAAATCCATCCCTTCAAGTTGTGCTGTGTGCCCTGAGGCCTACGTTATCCTCAGCACCTTCGCCAGAAGAAGAAAACGATCGTTGAATCGATTGAACTTTATATGCAGACTGGTTCAACCTTCGGCTAGGCCTTACACCATACTAGAACCCATACTACAAATACATTCCACAGACAGTATTGGAAAACAACATGCACAAAATGTACTATGACAGAGCCATAATCACAGATAATTTACTATAACAGACCAGACATCACACTCATTGACAAACACAATAAAATCACATACATTATAGATAAATCCATTCCAAACACTCACAATGTACAAAACACATGCACTGAAAAAATTNAGAAAAGTTTGGCTTTTGGGCAAAATTTTCTCAAAGAAATTGTTCAGATTTCAAGTTGTTCAACTTCTTGGGCATTTAAGTTTCAAGGTACCAATGTATTGGCATTTGTATCATAATTATGAGATATTCTTCAGAATTCTGAATATATGTATAGAAATATATTATTTTTAAATTAATGTTGAATTCTGCAGTGAAATATACAATTAATTTTTATTATTTAAATATTTTAGGGAAGAACAGAATCACCCAGGAAATAAGGCATCTATGGAGGATGATAGGGAGCTTATTGTTCCTGTTGTTCTATCCTCTACAGATGTGATACCACACATACTAAAAAATTACATGATGTGATACCACACATACTAAAATACATACAAAAGCCTGGGAACATTACAATTGAATAGAAACACATATATCACATTACAAAATGCCACTATATTGAGTACATATCATATTTTTAGGAAATTCTTGAATACAGACACTCACACTGTAATTGTTAATAATTGTTCGTTTTCAATCAACAACCCTTTGTTCGATGACAATGAGATGAAAATATTGTGTGAATCTATGATGTAGTTGTTGTCTGTATGCTGGCATGTTTATTTAATTTTTGTTTTGTTTTTGTTGCTATGCCTTGATTTTAGTCCAGCATGGTATACAGCAACTGGTGTCAACAAGTATAACCCCTGCACCGAAAATAATAATAAATGGCAAATATAACAATATATTCAAATATTTGCTTGTTGTATTTATTGTTACTTTTCATTTATCTTCATAAAAATCATACATTGACAATAAGCTTTTGTATTGAAAACCTCTATAAAATACTTCAATGAGTAACTTTATAGTCTTTTCTTTCTTATACAGTAGACCCCCCTATAACGCTTAGATACATTCCACTTTATAAGAATTTTACATTGTAGGAATTTTTAAATGCATGAGCCAATCACAGCCTGACACGTGTGAAGTTTACGGACTAAAGTTGTTTGAAAGGTTTTCTTCTATAAAATTAACCAATTCTAGACTAATTTGACTCAACATTTCCAAAACACGTATAATTTTTTGGGAATAATCCGTATAAACTATGCTATAAACAAAAAATTGTAGGATTACTTACCGAGTGTGCACTATTCGACTACGCCGTTGCTTACACTTGTTTTTGTCGCGGAGCAGTGCACCAAACGACAGCTGCAATTTCTGATAAGTTATTTATCAGTGAAAACTTCGTTGAACTTTGGAGACATCATTAATATAAATAATTTTTATGACCGTTGAATAAGAAATGTTTCTTTCACAAGAAATGTATAAAATTAGTGCTGTATTAGAC